AGCGTTGATGAATGAGTGGTTTGAGATCTTTTATACCCAGGCTCGGCGCTTTGAATTCGGTGTTGACCTGATGACTCAAAATAGTCCTGATGTTACAAGTGTTGGCGCATACTTCAAAGTTTTAGTGAAAATAATGTATCCGTATTACTCTTCCCTCCAAATGTATGTCTATCATTCACCTATGATCGGGAAAGTGCACGGCTAAATGCAAATCTAAACATTTTTAAAATCTATGTTAAATTTCTTGAAAAATGGCAAGACTATTCAAGACATTTTAATTTTAGCATAAAATCTGCTGATGGAGCATCACAAGATCGGAAGGATGTGTCTCCGATACTTAAAAATGCTTGGCATAATTTATGGCCACTACATATTTTATGGTGAGACTATGAAGATATAGCCGCGATTGAATGTTTTCGGACATCGCAATTAAAGTGAAATTTTCCAGTTATCGATGTTGTAAAATGTGGAAAGCGGTAACAAATAGTGATACAACAGAAGTTTTCATGGCACGACAATGCCCAATCTCAATCGGTTCTAGATCCAAAAATACCACTTCCGATGTGAGAAGTGACAGAGAGTTATATGAACGAAAAATTTCTATTGCAAGTTAGTCGGTATTCTCGAACGCATTACAGGTGACATGGACCTTGTAACTGAAAAGAATTATGTCGTTTATAGAATTAAAGAAAATTATTAGCACAAAATGAAACAACTTACATTGAAAGAAGTTTATAAAGGACAAATAAATATAACTATTTTTTGTAATTTTGATACCCTTTAGATCATAATTGTTCTTTATTTCATAAATTACGGTTTCATATTTTTAATTGTATAATTTCTGCATGACATCTTACCAGATTTAAATTAATGATCTATAAACCGGAAAAAGCCCTATCCGGAATAGCCGAAGTCCCGACGAGTCCGGATTGCGGACTTTTTACTGTACTGGATGATATCATCGTCGTTGGGAAGAGTAGTATTTACAAAATATTAGGAAGGTGCTTGAAATATTAGGAATTATTAGGAAAATATTAGGAAGAAATTGAATAAAGCCAATCTAAAGTTAAGTCCGGCCAAATGTAAATTATTCAGATAGGAAATGACTTACCTCGGACATGTCATCCCTCCAGAAAGTGTGTATACGCATCCAGAAAAAGCATCGGCAGTTAAAGACTGGAGACGCCCATTAAACGCCTATCAGCGAAAAAGTTTCCTGGGGAATTGCAGCAATTATAGGATATTTGTGAAGGACTCTTCTTCCATCACAAAATCCCTTCGCAAACTGACAGAGAGCAAACAAAAGTTGCTGTGAACAAAAGAATGTGAGAATGCATTTAACACACTGAAGAAGGTTTTAAAATCTGCGACAATCCTGACGTATCCTCAGCTTGACAAGCCATTTATTCTTGACTGAATGCGAGAAAGGAGAGTGTGGTGCTGTTTTGTTCCAATAAATAAATGCTCAAGAACGTGTCACAGCATACTGAAACAGCTCTTTATCTAAAAAAGAGGTGAATTACTGTGCCACAAGAAAAAAGTTGCTAACAACAGTAAAAGCTGTAGAACATTTCTACCATTACTTCTATGGTAGGAAATTCCTGCCCCGCACAGATAAAATAGCCAAAAGGATACAGATATTACAGGAATATGATTTCATTGTTCGTCATCGGAAAGAACAGTTACACGAAAGCGACGAAGCACTGTCTACACCCTGATCAGAAAGCTGTCAATATTGTTCAAGGGTCGAAGCGAAATATGAGCTGGTTAATCCGGTCGCACGTCAAGTTACAACTTCAACATCATGTGACCCAGACCCATAAAATGAAGAAAAAGTCAGAAACGACTAATTGGAAGACGCCGACATTAAACCCATAGACTTAATCGAGTCTTCAAATAAGAAACTTACCTAGCAGGACATTTCGATCTGACAAATCAATCTTGGATTTTTAAGACTCACTCCATATTCGAAACGGTGTCTTGTACCGGAAGTTCGAATCGGATGATGGAAAGGCTTTCCGATGGCAGCCTATACTTTCATGTTCCTGGACGTCCTTCAGGAAATAAGTAGCAGTCCGACAGAAGGCCACCACGGAATAATGAATACTTTGCATAAAGTTCGAGAGCGCTTCTACTGAAGTAAAACAGGCGATGACATACAAAAGTAGTACCAATCGTGCGATGCCTGTGCGAGTCGAAAAGGGCTGAAGAAACGCTCCTGAGGGAAGCTGCACCGTTACAATAAAAGACCGCCTTTTGAATGCATCGCCTTTAACCTGCTGTGACGTTTGCCATGAACTGCTCATGGCAACAAATACACCCTGATTATGATTGATTACTTCATGAAGTGACCTGAAGCATACCTTCTCTAATCAAGAGGCTAACATGTAATGACACAACATTAAGATTTCCAGGTTCTGAGCGCCTCTTCAGTTACATTGTAATAAAGATAGGAATTTCATCTCGGCTGCAATTAAGAAACTCTATAGAGTACTCCGCATAGACAAAACCCACATGACTTTTTAGATCCGCAGTCAGACGGCATGGTACAGAGGTTTAATCGAACCATCCTTAACAACCTCTCGCTGATGATTTCCAGAAACCAATACGACTAGGACCAAAAATTAGCTCTCCTCTTACTGGCCTATCACAGAAGGGTCTACAAGACTACCAGCTATCCTTCATTCCAGATGATCTTCAGCCGTGACCTTCATCTGCCTTGTGATCTGTTCTTTGGTCGCCTTCCAGATGATCCTTCATTGCCTGATAAGCACATTCACGACCTCCTGGCACGGTTTTAAGAGAACAATTTTGAAGGACAGCGAATCGTTGTCGAGAGAGAAGAACCGATACGACACAAGCGCTACAAGAGATCCATTCAAAGAAGATGAAAAGGTGTGATGGAATCCGATTAGACGGAAACGACTTTTTCGTAAACTACAGTCACCCTGGGACGATCTTTACATAGTCCTAAACAGACGTCTTCGTTCGGAACAGTACATAATCATATTCTAAGCCTAAAGTCGTTCACTACGACAGGTTAGCCCTTTACTATGGCCACAGTACGTAGCCCCCATAGTGTATGTTATGGAAATAATATACTAAGACCACAGCCCTATGTATATATAAATTTGTAAATTCGTGCATTTATTTTTTGATTTTATAGTTGATTTGTTGTATATTATTTATTGAAATTATTGTTTTAGTATTGCAATGATTTTCCTTAGTTGTAAGTATAGCTTCCTGTCCAGGGACTATACTGCCAGGGACGTACAGAGCTACAGAAAACACAGTGTTATGAAGTTTGTACAGATGTATATATATATTTAATGAAATTATATGTTAATTGTAGTATCTCTTGCCTAATGTAACATGAAAGGCCTCAAGAATTGAAGCTCCCCAGAAAAATAAGGTTGCAGGGGAAGGTCCGTTTAACACTGAGGTAAATGTCCATCTCGTCAAATCAAACTGGCAGTGGTTTTGGTGACTAATTTTTGTCGCCAAGTTTGGTAAGAACCCGCCAAACGTGCCGACCATTTGGTCTAATCCTTATGTGACTGTATCCGATCCTAACACTTGGTCCAATCCTTATGTAACTGTATCCGGTCCTATGTAATCAATTGCATATGCTTTCCAGCAATTTCGAGAAATCAAAGGTACTGGAAATTTCTCGGCGGTCGCGAGAAAACTACATAAGATCGTAGCAGCATCACTTTTCAGTTTAGTTCAGATTTGAGAAAATAATTTTAAATATGGTTCCTCATATAAAATATGGTGTCATTTAGTGTTAAAATAGGACTTGAATATTCTGTCTTACATGATCAAGACAGTAATTTTTACTTGCTGGACTTTGTGGGCATGATAATCAACCAATAACCCTTCTCCCGTGAACATCTTGCAAAAAAACATCAGACATCTAGACGACAATCGTCATCAAATATTTTGGAAGGGAGCACAATGCGAAGAATTTCCGATAGCTTTCCTCGTTAGCCATGCTCAGTGGAGATCATCTCTTCGGAATATCCCAGCAAAATTATTTCGGATGATTCCTCGTCAAATACGCACTATGCAGCCTAAAATTACCACCGCGACAAGAATTCAGCTCCGGTTACTGCAGCGTAAGGTATAAAAAAGGATTTGATAATCTCATCCCTATACCACCGAGCAGTCAATATTCCATTCTGGAGATACATAGATTGGTAAATAAAGATACCGATTGGCGTAATTCTCATGTGCACATCGAGTAATTCTCAAGTGCACATCGATATCGCAACCAAGGGGTGGGTTTCTATTGTTCTCATGATGATGAGTCTTTGGAAACTGTTGTTTACATTTTATTTCGCTATGTCCAGCATGCATTTATATTTCTTTCAAATTCTTTTAACCAGATGGCGAAAACTTCATAGCTACTTTTTTTTCATCTAGTTACGCACTGCGAAACTTCACAAAAGAATCCACGATATTTAAATTATTTTGGAGAGGGCAAAAAATTTTTCCTATTTTGTAGAAAGTCATTAGGTTATTTTGAAGCAGGAGATGTGAAAAATGTGCAACGCCCTTGCTGGGACTCGAGCCTGAACCTCTCGAATACGCGCCGAATGTGCTACCGTTACATCAGAAAGGCATACAGAAAGGAAGGTTAAATACCTGATATGCTCCCCCTTTTAAAGAGAACTTTGTTCTTTTCGGTGGATGCGATGCCGTCCACCACTGTGCTTGAGTTCTTATTTTGTGCTTATAAAACATTTAAATCCCTCTGGATTGACCGGGGCATTACGCTTCCTCGGATGGCTGCCTCGAGCGGTTGGGTCTGACAGCCTCTGCCTCTGGTGTTGTGTCCCTTTTAAAGTGTGACTAGGGATTAGGGATGATAATTTGTTACCGCCAAAACTTGGAGGTAACGAATTATCATCCACCACCTTTTAGTTCAGGCAACACTTGTACACTCATTAGATATTTTTATTATTATTTTTTAAGCAGGAGGCGTGAAAAATAGGCAATGCCCTCGCCAGGACTCGAACCTTGGGCCTCTCGAATACGGGTCGAGTATGCTTCCAATTACACCACGAAGGCATGCGGAAGGGAGGGAGAAAATACCTTATACCTTTAAGCGTGGCAAAGGTTACGTGACTCAACAAAAGAGACTAAGTTCACTTGCTGTAGAAGGCCATCTCTAGGTTGCGATACAGATGTGAACTCAATGAATTATGCTATCGGCTCCTCCCTTTGTCCCGTCTTGAACAATCGAACACTTTTTTGCATACATAAAATGTTACTGAAAGTATTTTTTTCCTCTAAATGATGAATCTTCTGTTTTCAAGATACAGATTAAAATGTGACTTATCAGAAAAGAAACTTCATTCATTTCTTCTGCTGTCGATAAGCTCTTTATGTCTACAGTCTGTGGCCGCCTGGATAGTGCACTGCTTAAAAAAAAACTTATACCATAGATCAGCTCGCATACACACTAGCAGTAGGGAAATGATTTCAAACAATTATGTAGTGCGAATATTCATGTCAGTAGAAAGTTGAATATTTGTGTTAGCAGTTTTTCTCGCAGAAGACTATGTTAACACTCAAGTTTTTCATTACATCAGTGAAAAAAAAAAAAAAAAAAATATCATTTCTTCATGCTGCAGCACTACGACCTTGTTTTAATTTTTATCTTACATTTTTAGTCTTCAAAAATCTTTTCCATAACTTCGAAATCAAGATCGTCCATTTAACGGTTCAATAACGACAGTTAAGCCATGGACGTGAAACTTTGAGTTAAATTCTACTAAATTTTAAATTTTTTATCATATTTACACTTTTCTTGAGTAGTGATGCAGAGTACTGATTGAGAAAATAAGGATTAACTTAAAGCCTAAAAATAAACCAACCGTTTCCTTAAATAGGAAATTATTATTACAACGTCATGCTGGCAAAAATAAAACATCATTTGTAATAAATAACTCTAAACAGAATGCAAAGTTAAGCTTTTCTGTGCTGTAGCTTTTGAATACTTAGTACATAGTAGACTTTTAAATTACTTAAATAATTTTATATCCTAGAAAAAATGAGGATTTGAATTCATAACTTCCACTTTTTCCGTAAAATATGAACATTAAATGAAATTCATAGGATTTTTCAGCATATGTGAAAAGATCTGCCCAGTATACTCGCGTTATAGAATAAGTCGCTTAATCAGGTTTCTCCATCTCATCATCAAGCACGTCTAAACTTTTTTAAAGTAAAGCGAAATAAACGAAAATTGAAACTAAACGTGAAATTTATATGCGTAGGCGGGTATGTAGGTGTAGTGTTTACAAAGATGACTAACGTGTTATATTTCTAACAAAAGTACTGCTTGGGGTTCGACGTACTCTTAACTAAACCAAGATTTTTATTCATGGAGGAGTTTTACTGATTCGCCTACGTAATTTATTCCCTATCTTGTGAGATAATGTTTCACAGATAATAATAAAAAATTAGCTTTACCTAGAAACTTTTTTCTTCCCCCCACAATGGTTGCTTAGTCTTGACTTTTTTTTTTTTTTGTGGATAATATTACTTTTCAAATAAAAGAATGTTGCCACCAAATGCTATCGCCATGTATTGTATTTACGGTAACCTATTCTTTGTTGTCATTTTATTTAAAAAATA